TTGTTAATTAGCTTTTCCTACTACTTTTTTTTTCCATCAAGTCCTATAATTTTAAGCAATTAAAAAATGCCTGAAGCTTGATATAACGTTGGCTGAGTTTACATTACCTAACATTTTGACCAAATTTAACAAAAATTCTTTTGACAGAAAACTAAAGCTATCTCAGTTTTTGAATTTATATATCATTGACATGCCAAAGCATTGTAGAGTTGGATTATTTTTAAATATGCAAAGCTTGAAAAAGGAAATACTTGGCTCCTTCGAATGCACAGGCCGGCTAATCCTTGTGTTTTTTGAGCAGTTAAAGGCTGATATTACAAACTTTGTTAAAAGATTTTTCTTCTTGAACTATTAGTAGCATCAGGATGTCTGATGTGTGCCTCATTTTTTTTTTCAAGGTTATTAACAAGAAGAGAGACAGAAATAGCAGTCATTACACATAGTGGATTTTTGTACCATACACTGAATAAATTTGGTAAAGATTTCCATCCACTAATCAAAGATGAAATCTGCAAACAGTAAGTTGGAAGAATCCTTTATTTTTTATTTCCTTGTAATTATACCAAAGTTTATTGTCTTAATACTCTATTGTGGACTTTCTGTTTTCAAATAGAAAATTGACTTATTAGTAACATGCACAAAAAGATCTATTTGAAGCAAACCGTCAAAACTGCTAGATTAATGATAAGCATCATTAAAATGCCAAGTTGGAATACAAAACCTTGTAACATGCACGTTGCTTGTTACTGTGATAGGAAATATTTGTAGATTTCAAATAAATCCTATCAATTTCAAAAAATCAGCTAGAAACGTTTCCAAACTCCAAAAGAAAATAAAAATAAAAAAAAAACAGTAATTTTATTGAAAGAATCAAATAGATCGGAAGAAAACAACAAGATACAAGTGATACTCTATTCGAGAGGAGGATTGATCTCTTCCAATCTCTAGACGAATCTAAAGCCCAAAACCTAAACCTAAGAGATCCCAAAATCAGCCAAATTCAAGATTCCCTAACCATAGGAAAACAAACTATTTAATGTATATTGCATACAAATCAAAAGGAAATCCCTAAGCAGTCCCTACATTTAATTTTCCCTCTCAATTCCCTAAAAAAACCTTCCAAATGGTTTCCCGTGAACCTGGCGGCTTGATCGGCATATGCAGGAGGCGGAGAAGTTCCGCCTCATTTGCGCCTGGGCCGGTCCCGCATGGACCGGCTGGACCGGTCCAATGGACCGGTCTAACAAACCATTTCATCAGCTTATAATAGACAATAATCACATGATCATGACAATAAAGTTTATAACCAGAAATTCTAGACTTTATTCACTGGCATTCATATGCGTTTAGATTTCTTTCATTGTTTCAAGGATACCGTTTCATCACTGTCTGTTAACTCATTTATAGTTGAAATGTAAGCTTGGATTTTATTTTATTTCAAATTGTAAGAGCGTTTAGTTATTTATATACTTAGTGGCAATGCATGTAAAGGTTTCGCAAGTGGCTTTATTTGCATACTTCCTCTGACTTATACTTCATCAGCATGAAGCAACTAGATTTCAGTCGTCTTTGCAAGCTCTCCTTGGCCATTTATGACGTTTTAAGGAAATGACGAAAGAATAAACGCAGTCATTTGCATTGTTTAACACACAAATGGATCTTAGCGGAAGATACTGGGTTAAATTAGGTAGTTATATGGTTCATTTTTATGGTCTTTGTTTGGTGTTTCTCATCATGATTAGTCATGCTTAAAATGAATAAGAATGGGATATATGAAATCATAAAAAGTGTTTTGAAATTTCTGTGATAGGAGTTAATAAGCTAGTGGATTAGATTAAATAGGAGCTTTAAATAAGCCATTATTCCACTGTAAACTCTATATGGCAAAAGGCAAAGTGCGGGGAAAGAGACAGAAATGTATCATCTTCACAGCAGTTGTAGAAGATCTTTTATCATTGTCCAAAATGGTAAAAAAATTTATTGTTTTGGTGGATTAAATGTCAAAAGTTGAGGTAGATGTTGTGGATATTATGCGTGTAGGATGTCCTTTGTTATTAATGTATGAATTCAATTCTATTAACTTTTCGCACATGGTTGATAATCAATGTTAGTAAAGAACCATTGAACATATAAACAATTAAAGGGAGAAAACTTGATGAAAACATGGGATGGAAGAACAAGAGCTAAATTAAATTGCTCGTACAGATATAATTCCTATTGACTGAAATATTCAAATCGGCAATGAGATTTATTATGGAGTTGTATAAATCACAATAAAAAATGAATAGAGAAAAATGGATAGAATCATGAAGTATGCTATATAGTTCTTGAGAAAATAAAAAATTAGTTAGCAGTGGAGAAAATGCATCATGATAATGCTTTAATATCAAATAAGGTTCCTTTTGAGTGATGTGAAATATTATAATTGTTTGGCTATGAAGACTAACAATGATTTTGAATGACTGAAAAATATTAGAAAAGGAAATAGAGAGATGGACGTGATGAAAAGATCAAGGAAAATAATAAGATAAGCAGAGTTCATGCCTTTACAGGAAGATCACCTAAAAAGCAACAAGAAGTTCCTTTGCGATGCTCAAAACCACACATACAAAAGTTAACTTTGCAACTCACAAACTCTTATTTAGGAAAAAAATTATCTATTTTGATTAAAATTGAAAAATATATGAATGTGGTGGCGGATATTTGCAAAACTAGAAAGTATGGAATGCAAAGTAATTAATTATAGAGAATAATTGAAAAGAGATTTGCCAATACCAAAGAAATAGGAAGGAACAAGATGGATAATGGAGCAGTACAGGAAGGTGTGCAAAAAGACGGATAAACTAGAGTTAGCACAATATTCTTTCCTCAAAAGGAGTGAATATGATTCATAAAGCCAGTCTCAAATTCTTCGGTCTAGATTAATATGATCATTGGACATTCTCAGTCCTGCCTGTCAATGCTAGTAACATCTTTTGTTCAAGTCACCAGTTAGCAAGAACTTAACTAGGATAGTGGACTGTCATATTACAATCTTCAAGGTATTCTGGGTTACATAATCAATTAGGGATTCAGTCTTTATAAATTTAAATTCTTGTTAAATTTATATAATATTTCAGGACATGAATAAATTATTGTTTCAGGTTTGTGATCTATTGTCCTGCCCCTATCTTCCAATTTAATTGACTGTGTGGATCCTAAACCAAAACCAGTCAATTGTTTGTTGTTATTAAACCATTTTGTCCTTTTAGTAGGGTATCGCAGTGTACAGCAACCATGATGAGGACAATCTTATGTTGCATGCGAAGGTAGTGGCGTCCTTTTGCATTAGTTGTCAAGTATTGGATGGTAGTGGGGAAAGTTAAAAGTACTGATTCAAATATTTATTATCTTCATGTTGTTTGAAGACTTGTGTATTTTACTAAACACATAACAAATTGTGCAGTTTGATATTTTAGCATTTAAACTTTGTTATTCTGATAAGAATCATACTAGAAATGATGTAAGTGTGATCATATATAAGAATTTGAAGGATAATGTTATAAAAATATATAAAATTGAAGATGGAATTATAGTTTTGAAGATTATTGTTGATACTAAGATTATTAATATTATAATGCTTATGCTCCTCAAGTAGGTTTGTATGTGTTCAAAATTTAAATTTTAGAATGATTTAGAAGAACTAATATAAAAGATATCCGTTGAAGAAAGAGTTTTATTAGAAGAGATTTAAATGAATATGTTGGTAGAGAGGTAGAGGATTTTAAAAGCATTCATGGTGGCTATAGACTTGGAGCGACTAAAGATGGTAAGAGTAGCTCATGATTTTGTAATAATTACTAATACCTTATTTAAGAAAACAAATGAGTATCTCATTACTTATAAGAATGAATATAGTAAAACTTAGATTGATTATTTTTTATAAGAAAATAGACCGTTTAAATTGCAAAGTTTGTAAAGTTATTCCGAGTTAAAGTTTATGTATCCAACATCGTTTATTAATTTTGGACTTTAAGAAGAAGGAACAAAATATAAAAAAAAAATGAAATGTTGTTACAAGATTAGATGAGGGCATTTAAAGAACACTAACTAAAATATTTTTGAGAGTAAGATTTGATATCTTAAGATTATGTCTGTGCATGAGGCAACTAACGTTATGTGGAAAAAAATAGTTAGTAATATTAAGAATGTTACAAAGGATGTGCTTGAAGTATCAAAAACAAAAGCTCATAATAGTAAAAATAGTTTGTGGTTGAATCAAAATGTGCTAGAAAAAATCAAAAATAAAATGCTTTGTTATAGTATATTATTAGTAAAATTCAAGTTGGTTGATCGAAGTGGAGAAATGCATCGGGCCTGTTGTGTGATAGAAAAGTATCACTCAAACTTAAGGAAAAATTCTATAAGATTGTGGTGAGACCTGCAATGCTTTATGGCGCAAAATGTTGGCCATTAAAAGAGAAGCATAATATTAAGTTTAGTGTTGCAGAGATGAGGATGCTCAAGTGGACGAGGGGCTTTACTCTCATAGATAGGATATGAAACGAGCATATACGTGAAAAGATTGGAGTAGCTCCAGTGGCACATAAGATTAGAGAGTCACCTTAGATGGTTTAGTCATATAAAATGGCTGCCTTCCAATAATCCAATTAGGAGAATAGATGTATTAGATTTGGACTATGTTAAAAAGGTTGAAGGTAGATCTAAAAAGACTTGGCTAGAAAATATTAAAAATGACTTTTATTAGATTTAAATGAGAATTTGACTCTTAACAAGACATAACGGTGAAGCCAACCCCACATAGTGGGATAAATATTTGATGTTGTTGTTGTATATAACAAGTTGTGCAAAATGATTTGTAGAATATAAACATAGACACCTAATAAAACGCTTGATAAGAACGAATGGAGAGCAATTCGTGAAGCTTACTCCATGTTTTCTTTTCTTCTTTATGTTCCAATCTCAATCTCAAAGTAATAAAATTGGCATCCCTATTACTGACTATTTTATATATATTCTTTCACAGCTTTGGCAATTGTGAGCTCCGTTCGATGGTCATAGTTGATAAAAGGTGAGAAACTTAATATTTGAACATGCTAAAGTTTCAGATGACTTTCTGATAAAATTCTGTAACACCTTTGCATCAGCTTGCTTGGTTTTGGAACTGATCGCACCAATTTTCCTGGAAGGATTCCCCGAGGGCTTGATCTTCCCAGTGACATTGCACATGACAAGCACCCGAATGCGACCGGCGACCATTAACCTCTTCTGCAACTCTGTTTCGCCGACGATGTCGACCATTTATTACCTGATATTTTGTTCATCATGCCATTGAAGTAGTTGCTTACAGGCACATTATAGATGCCCTTATTTTTATGGCTGATTCAAGCCATTATTTTTATCTGTCCTCAACTTCATATTTGCCCAACTTGATGGACATGATTCCTCTTATTTTTTCATCTAACTACTACTTGACCTTGAACAATAGCACAGGGGAGCTATCTTATCTTTATTTCTACATCTCTATGAATTTCGAAGGGATTATTTTGTTGGATTACTTTAGAGTATAAAGTACTTCAAATACAAACATTTTATAAATTTGGGTGTTTTGTTGAAATACAAAATGATGCAAAGTAAAATATAATCAAAGTAATGTGAAGTAGTTTATTCTGAGTGTAAATCAAGCTGTTCCGATTTTGAGCGAAAACTATTGTAGCCGCGACCACATATCGTCACCGGCCGTCATCATTTAAGATTTTACTCTACATTCACTACTTCTAATCAAACAAAAAAAATATTTGCCTGCATTTATTTTACAT